GTGCTGGGATTACAGGCGTGAACTACCGCACCTGGCCCAAATAGGCTATTCTCAAAAGAATACACACAAATGGCCAACAGGCATATTTTTTTAATGCTCAAAATCATTAATCATCAGGGAAATGCTATCAAAACCACAATGAGATATCATCTTACCCCAATTACAATTGTTATTATCAAAAAGACAAAAAATAAAAGATGCTGGCGAGGATGTGGAGAAAAGGGAACTCATACACTGCTGGTGGGAAATGTTATGGAAAACAGTATGGAGGTTTCTCATAAAACCTAAAAATAGAACTATATACAATCCAGCAATCCCACTACTGGGTATTTATCCAAAGGAAAAGAGATCAATCAGTATGTCAAGGGATACCTGTACCCTCATGTTTACTGCAGCACTATTCACAATAGCCAGGATATGGAATCAATCTAAGTGTCCATCAATGGGTGAATAGATAAAGAAAATGGTTATATATACACAGTGAAATACTACTCAGCTATAAAAAGGAAATCCTGTCATTTGCAGCAACATAGATGGAACTGAAGGTCATTATGTTAAGCGAAATAAGCCAGGTACAGAAAGACAAATATTACATGTTCTCACTCATATGTGGAAGCTAAAAAAGTTCATCTTAAGGTGTAAACAGTACAATGATAGGTTGGTGAATGGTTACAAACATATAGACAGAAGGTAAGTTCTAGGGTCTGATAGCACAGGGTGACGATCATTAACACTATATTGTATAGTTCATAATAGCTAGAAGAGAATATTTGAAATGTTCCTAACATAAATAAGAAACGTTTGATGTGATGAATAGCCTAAATACCCTGATTTGATCATTACACATTGTATACATGTAACAAAATATCACTTGTACCCATAAATATGTACGATTATTATGTATCAATTTTTAAAAGCATCAAGAAGAAATTAGCAGTCTAATTCAGCATATCCTTAAGTTCAACATGTGAGATGTTGAGATGTTGACATAATGACAAACATCAGTAATTTTTGTACTTCTGTCAGTATTTTAACCATATCCACATACCTCCTACACTGTTGTTTCCTTGATATTGTTTTAAGTTGACTCTTTTTTACTTATACTTCTTTATAAAAGGAATTAGTGGACTGCAAGGTGGCATAAAAAGGTAGGAGAAAAAGAAAAAAGAAGATCATGGCTGAAAAGAAAAGGCACTCAGGGTTAGAGGCAAGGAAGACAGGTAGGGGCAGGTCCAGGATTGGAGACACAGGATCTATGGGGTGAAGGTGGCCCAGCACAGACATAAGAAGGGATGGAAGCTGGGCAATGAGAGAATAATAGAGAAATGCCAGGGAATGGGGATACTTGTAGCAGGTAGCATAAAGCTGTGCCTTGAAAGAACACAAGGGACAGAGAATAAGCATGAGGGCCAGGGAGGCTGGAGACTACTGGGGCCAAGAAACTAAGGCAGGGCAAAGTGTGACGCCCAGGCAGGGATGCTGGAAGAAGAAGAGGGAGACTAGAGGTAGGAATGAAGGAAAAGCTGAGGAATGGGTGGGCTTAAGGAGGGCCCACAGTGAATGGGTGGGGCAGCAGTGGACAGCCCAACAGAAGCAGGCATCAGGGAAAACAGATTGTCTTCTGGACTGTGCCAGGCAGTGGCCAGCAAGATAAGCTCAAGAAACATCTGTAAATCACCTAAAATCATCTCATGTACTACCAGTGGTGGACATTCCCACATGCTGGGAAACTGCCTGATGCTCTACGAATAAAGAGCAGCAGTCTTTCATTCTTCCCCTTTCATTACCAAAAAAATATTACATGTAAACAAAGGAACCTAAACCCCTACCTTACTTGTCAGGTCCCCATGAATACACCAAAACTCAACAACGTAAAGCAATGTGACTTCTTTTATATACAACTCATGCTTCTTATCTCTATGAGCTCTTTTGTTTTGATAGACAGTCCCCACCAAGCAACCATCTCCTTAGTCAACGTCTATAAGCACAGAATACAATCAGCAGAATTGACAAACGCCCAGTAACAAACACCGTAAAAACAGCATCTATTATTAAGGAGAATAAATCATCAAAATAATGTCTGAACAAGCTGGTAGTACACTGTCAAATAAATTCTTGCATGTAGTTAAGTATAGCCCTAGAAAACAATATCCTTTATTTTTTAAATCCTTACCCTTAGCTGAACAATGATGCGGGAGACAAAAGATTAGTCTGCAATCATCAAGCCTACGCTGTTATTTCTTTGTAAAGTTTATTTCAGCTCCAAGATGTGTTCTAATGTTTCCTCCCTTTTCCTAGGTGTGTCAAATCACAGATTCACTTATCCTCCAGTCACAGCCAAGTGAGTGACTCAGGACAGCACACAGCTCATCGATTATTTCAATTTCCTGGGATAAACTCATCAGTTCCCACTTCTCATTTCCTATCCTCTCCTTACTTTCTTGAGGCCTGTTACTTTCAAGATGATATAAGGCACGACAATGATGAGGGCAAAATGATATAAAATCTTCAAACAAATCAAAGGAGCTAAATTCTGTTATACTTAAGAAAGATCAAATCTAAGGGAATTCTGTTCACCGCCCAGAAAGGCAGGTTCATCTTTCATTCATTTATTCATTCATTCCTTCAACAAATATTTATTGAGCATCTTTCATGATCTAGCTCAGCCTAACATGCCACTTTAAAGCATGCCATTTTCTATGCAATGTTAGGTAACATTCATTACAAGAGGAAAGGTGCTATAACTGAAAATTCTTTTTGAATATGGATGTGGGTATGCACACATGTATAGTACTTCAATACTGATTAACCAGAACTGGGAAACATAATCAACACCCAATCTCCAAACACCTGGAAATCAAACACCCTACACAGTCAAGAGCTACTGGTCTAAAACCTCACATTAAGGAAAACCCTATAGATAGAAAGACACATAAACTTTCAAATTACAGCCATATGTGGTGATCAAACATGCATGGAAGACCACATAATTCTTGCAACCAGCTTTTGCTATCCAAGGGGACAGGTTAATCTATCAACCCATAAATTCATTAACCTGACATTTCCAAAATGCCTGACACTATATATGCACTAACACAATAACTTTCCCCCAAATTCTATGATGTAGGCATTATTATTAGTATTCCAATTTTTAAGATTAACAAACTGAGAACTTGGTTAAGTATAGCTCTAGAAAACAATGCCTTTTATTTCTTAAGTCCTTACCCTTAGCCTTTTATTCAAGGGCACTTAGAAGGCAATGGAGCCAGAACTTGAACCTAAGTTTGTGACTCATGGATTCAAGCATTTCTAAAAGATAAAAATAAATTGGTAGTATTATAGCTTATACATTAACATCTAGTTTCTTCTTATAATTAACATCATATGGTAGTGTGAATCTTGTTTTAATTCATGTAAGTATAAATTGTCTCTAAGCCTCTCACCATTCTTAATTGGACTTTTCTTAGTTCTCGGGTATTATATACCACCTGTTCCTGTCTTTCCCAGGATGTTTGTTGGAGAGTGAGAATTAACTGTCTTGGTAATGAAAACTACCATTTAAAGAGTACTTTGTTTGTGCCATGCACTGGGATAAGTATTTCACTTATAGTTTCTCACTCAGCCCCTGCAGCAACCCTCTGAGTTGGTACTACCATTATCATCATCACTCCTTTTAACGAATGAAGGGAAGAAGATACAGAGAGGTTAAGCAACTTGCCTGAGGTCACACAGATAAGGAGGATTCACACCTAGTGGTCTCTTCTCCCTTCTCCCAGTCTATAATCTTCATCAGTAGGAAGTTCTGGTTCCCTTCTTAACGCCCTCATCTCAAGTCTGGGCTCCCACTGGCCTGTTTCTCGGTGCTAGTGAGAAACTGCTTTTAGTGTGTGCTGGTTTGGTTTCCTCCATCTTTGTTTTCTCCCCTGATAAGGATCCTGGTTCACCTGCTCTGTGCAGCTCTCTGCTTCCATCTGGTATTGATCTCCTGGCACACTAAGACTATTCCTCATACAGATGAATACACCTTGGGCTGTATAGCAAGGCTTCCCCAGGGCCATCTTTCCCAATAAGAGTTTGATCTCGTTCTTGACAAAACCTCTTAAAGAAGCCAAAGCTTTTAAAAATAATATTCAACATTTTAAAAAATCAATTACCAAACAAGTTCACAGTGGCTTTTCCTTTCAAAAGAACATCTGGATTTGTGTCACATTATCAGGACACTTTAATTGCATTAATATTTGATGATAAAATGTATTAAGGTCAGATTAACCTGAGAAATAAAACTGATTTTCTCTTTTCTTTCCACTACCTGCAAATTCTGTACCGGCTCTGTCTATAGACAATCAAAAAAGGGAACTATCCTCAGGATAGGTACTAATAGTTCCGTGAAGCTAAGAAGTGCACAGGCAGGAACTCAGCATTTACTAAGCACCTACTGTGTGCACCAGATATGATGTTATATATTTTACATCTATGAATTAAACAATAGCTCCAGAGCAACCCCAGCACATAGGTCTCACCGTGCCCATTTCATAGATGGGTAAACAAGCTCAGAAAAGTCACATAAATCAGGCTAAGGTCAGTGGCAGAGCTGAGATTTGAGCCTGAGTCTGTTTGCCCCCAGCTTCTTGCTGCAGGAATCATTCTCCTTCTGCACTGCTTCTCAGAGAGTTCTGTCAAGAGCCCTGCAAGACAGGACTTAACTTGTATTTGACTAGAGTACTGAGCTTGATGAAAAACCCAGCAAGAAATGAGATCCTGTTACACAGATGCTCCCCAAATGACCCTGTGCTCCTGATTCCCAGCTGGGTCATACATGTCCCCAGAAAAATAGCCTTTCTTTACTTTCCATGGGTTTGCTACTTGCCTCTGTTTCATTCCTTCTCTCTCTTCTTGACCCCCCTCCCCTCTCTGCTGTGTCTTTCTGCATGTCTCTTTATGTCTCTATGTGTATTTATCTCTCTCAGTCTCTCACACAACCATACACACACTCAGGATACCTCGATCCAGCAGCCGGAGCAAGCGGAGATACCAGAGATACCACTGGTCCCAGAAGCGGTCCGTCATCCCACCCTGAACTCATCCTTCACAGCCAGTCCCCTCGGCAGAGCCTCATCCCACCACGGCTGACTCGAGGAGGCCGGAATCACTTGACGCTGGGCTCGCACACAGCCTGCTCTAAGCAAATGCCTGCCTGCAAAGACAGCCACCAGTCCTCCCACACAGAGGCTGACTGTGCCGGGAGCCGGTTTCACAGCAACAAAGGAACAAGTGCAGAACAACGCCGTGTGCAGACCGAGCCTGCCTGGACCCAAGGGGAGGTCGGAGATGCGTGGGAGGGAGTCAGGAAGGGCTTTCGCAAAGACGCGAGGTTTGCAGTGGTCTTGAGAATGAAACTCCACAGTCAAGTCCATGTGTTAAATTTTTTTCCAGCATCTCCTGCCATCCTGGCTTCTATGCCTCCCACACCAGAGGCCAGTGGCTCCTCCAGTAGAATGTGGGATGGGAAGCCAGAAGCTCAGCCATTTTGGACTTTGAGGCCAGTCCAGGAGCCCGGGAGCCTTACTGCCTCACTGCCTCACTGTCTCACTGCCGGGACCACCGGCTCTCCTTGCCCAAGACTGCAGGACCTGCATGACTAGTAAAAGGCCACAGATCCTTTTTTCTTACGTCCCTTCATGGAACCTTTGTTATAGTAGAGACAGCATGGGCTCTGAAGCATGGGCTCTATAGTAGAGACAGTCATGGGTCCAAATCCTAGTTGCCACTTAATACTTGCCTGGCCTCGATGAAGTTATTCAGCTCCCTGTGCCTCAGCTTCCTCCTCTGTAAACCAGAGAGAACAGTATTTGTGAGCCTCAAAGCAAAAGAATATGTTTCTGGTGTCGCACCTGGTAGATACTGGTAGATACAAGGTTCTCCCTTACCTCTCAACCCCTCTCCCTCTTGCCAGACTCTCAATTCCCCACACATTCATACATCCCACGGTTTTCTATCCCCAGGCCTTTGCTCCTGCCCTTCCTGCCAGTAGCATGCTCTCCCCACTCTCCTACCTCATCATGGCCAAATGCTCCTAATTTTTCCAACAAATAACTCAAATGCCACCGAATCCAGGCAGACTTCCCTGATCTTCCTTCCTTTATATTTTATTTTTTTCATTCCACCTTCTCCTTTGTATATGACTCTTCTTCCTTACTTACCCATAAACTCCATGAAGGTAGGATCTGCTTTTTAATCATCTTTGTGTCCCTCAAAGAACACTGAACTTCGCAATTACTCAAGTAATTACTAACTGGACAAATGAACATGCAAGGGCATCTGAGTCCCCAATACAATGTTGTTTTCAAGGCAAGGAGAAGAGTAAGCTGCAGAGACCTCAGCCCCTGGGCATTGTCTAAGGCCTTTGGGGCATGACGGGGTGCCCAGTCCTTGCCCCACACACAGCCCGTCTTACAGTGGGCCAGCCTGTGACCCAAGTGACTGGGAGTGCTACTCACTGAAATGAAACCTGAGGAGTCCCCAGGTCTAGGAAGACCTTGTTCTCCAAGCCTAAAAACTACCCAACAGCCATCTGCACATTCATCACAGCTCTATGCAGCTTAGGCCATGCCAGCAATGCCTTCTCACTGTCCTAGCAGAAATGGTGGTCTCCAGGCCTCCTGGTCTCCATCAGGCAACTGGCAGGCATGTCTCCCTCGGCACCAGCTCTTCCTTGGAACTTATACCTCCAAGATGAGACAGGCTGCCGATTTCTGAAGAACTCAGACCTGGGAGGAGGCACGTCCAGGGCGTAGAAGCCAGGAGGGAGAGGGAGAAAGCTAGCAGAGCCACAACCTCCACCGCCTGCCCCTGCCCCCCAGACGCCTTGTGGTTTCTTCTTAAAGGGCAGCATTGGGTCTCGGCAGAGATATCACCACCCAAGAAGCTACCTCTCAGGCTCTGTTAGCATTATTTTCTTATTACCCTAAATGGACAAGACTCCAGTGTGTAGTTAACACAAGAATGCAAACCCCTCCTCCTCCCTCCAGAGAGAAGTAACCCGGTGTTCTGCCCTTCACAAATAACAAGAATTCATCGCTCACGTGTGGCCAGTACTTTTTCGTTCACAAAGTACTTTCATAACTATCATCTCCTGCTTGCCCTGCAAGGTCTGTAGGATGGGAATCACTTTCTCCAGTATACAGAAGAGAAAACCCATGTTCTACAAGATTAAATAACTTGTTTAAGGTCAGGTAACTCGTAGGTGCCCATCTGTCTCCTTCCTGAGAGTTTCAGGGGCACTAAGAGATTCCTGGGAAATTGTGACATGTTTCACTAACATATGGCAGCCCTCCAGTAGGGCAGGACCTGGGGAAACATGGCTGTTTCCTAACAGGAACCCTGAGGGAGGCCCCTCCAGGGCGGCGCTGACATGCCATGGGCACAGATTGAGTGGAGGGTCCAAATGTGGCCACTTATTAACTAAGGGCTTTTTATCTTTTTCTTTGGCCCTTGACTTATAACTGCAGAGAGAGTGCATCTCCAAATAAGAATGCCAAAAAGACTTTTTCTAACACAACTTGGGAGAAATCTGAAACGGGAGGCTCCCATCGTGGCAGGAGACCTAGACAGAGAGGGGCAGGGGAAGAGCATCTGACTATGAGGCTGAAAGTCCCAGAGAGTGCCCTAACGGTGCTAGTGCTACAAATCTCATTCTTGGGGCTGGAGAAAGAAGCTGGCCCTGTTCCCCTCCCTCCAGTAATCAAGGGCAAAACAGTCCACACAGTCTCATTTGCAGAGGAAAAGGGAATAAAGACTGTCAAGAATAATATGGGTGCAAGCACTTCCCCCACAAACAGACCTAAGAACATAAGCAATGCCCATCGCGTCAGCCCCAGGGTGAACCCATTCAGCCTGGAGTTTTACTCAAGATTGGCTTCAACCCATCAAGCTGGGCTCCTTGGAGCTCCCCAGTCCACCACTGCTCATTTCTTCATCTCCCACAGAGCCTCCTAAGTCTTACTTGAAATGTAGCCCCTCCAGAAGTTGAATAAAATGTTCCAAGAGACTGTCAGCATTGCCATTTAACTGCAGTGCAATTAGAAAGGATATTGGCCAGGACACAGCCTTATTAGTAGGTTTTTGTTGTTGTTTTTGTTTTGTCTTATACAATGCTTCCACAGTGGCTCCTTCTTTCCTCATGGTCAAAGCAAGCACAGCTATTCCCTTTGGCATGTTTCCTCCAGCCCACCCAGCTGGCTATAGAGACATGTTTTCCAGGGTCAGGCAGTGTCACCAGGCCAGCAACAGCCCATCCACTCCAGAGGGCCGATGCCCATCCGGAGGTTCAGCAGTTATTTGATATCACAACATGGATGTGTTCCTTTCTCCTCGATGTTCCTTCTTCTTTCCTTGGCACCGTTCTTTCTCCCTCTCTTCACCCACCCCAACTTGAAAACACTGTGTTCCCAATCAGATAAAGCCAGCACAAGTGTATGGAGCAGAAGGCAAGCAGCACGGAGGGAGGAGAGATCCAACCACACCTCAAATCTTTCCCACTCATCTCCTGGGACAACAATGGCCACTGTTCCCTCAGCAGCAACTGACCCAACTCCTCAGACACATGGACCTATCTGGCAAGTGAAGGCAACACAGGAAGTAGCATAGTTGCTGGTATCTGCAAACCAAAGTGAAGACCATCCACAGACATACTGATCTGCCCCAGGAAGCGGGCTCCACCCAGCTACCATTTTGCCCTGCAAGCTGTGCTTCAGTTGTAACATGAATCAAACACTCCAGTGGACAGCATCCTCAGCCACCTCCCACACCACTTCTGCCCCCTTGGCGATTAGCGCCCAAGTGATGGAGTGGAGCCCGGGGCAACACATTCTCACGGATGCCATTTCAAGGGTGGCTTGGACCCCTGCCAGTCTCTCCCATGAGTTTAGTGTCCCTAGGTGAACGGGCTTCTTAGGTCCACACCTGAGGACAGTATCTACAGCCAGTATCACCTAGACACTGAAATTCAAGTCCACCCCTCCCAAGAGGCCCTTTCCAGCTAACCTCACACATTCTCTATCTCAGAGGTTCTCAAAGTTTAATGGGCAGCAGAATCACCTTAGAGGGTTGGTTATCCATGCAGATAACGAGGCCTCATTCCCAGAGGCCTGCATTTTTAACAAGCTCCCCAGAGAGTTCTGCAATGGTGATCCATCCACTTCAGTCCCTGCTCTCCTCTCCTACCCTCAGCACTGGCTTCGTGTCACTATCTTGAATTCTAGTGTGTACCCCACCTCCCCCAACACCCTGAGAGTCCAGTAGGGAGGGAGAGTCTGAGTCCCCCATTAGAGTATGCTCACCTGGAAGGCAGAGGGGCCTCTCTCCTTTCAAGGCCTAGTAGAGGGCCCCACATGGAGGGGTGAGAAGCTGCCAGCCAGGAGGCTGAGAAATCAGCCTTGCCTCTCCACAGGCTCCAGAAAGCCTTCGTTCTGCCACAGTTCCACTGCACATCTGTACAACGGCTTTAAATGTCACCTCAAATATCAGGCCAGGCAGCAGGAGGGAAAGGCAGAAGCTAATTATTCTGCCTTGCCTCGGCTTTTGTGTAGCTTTCACCTGGCTCACCTCCGACCTCTGCTGAGGATCTTTAACTCTGCCTTGGCTGAGGCATGGCCAGCTCATGGAAGACAACCTTTCACTGCCCTGGGCTCTAAACCACCTTGTTAAGTGGTGAAAACCTGACCCCTCCTTACTGCTTCTCTGGGGGCTTCTAGTTACCCCAGCAGTCAATAGAACCCCCAGGTTGCACTGAATCTCTAACACAGCATGCCACCCCAATACCCCCCACTGCCCACCCAAGAGCCAGTCCCCTCTCCTCCTTCATGACCTTATGAAGCTTATCTATCCTGGGCCCCATGCCCTCTCCATTAAGTCCTGTGAAAAGTACCATGACAACTTCATCCCATCCAAGGTATTTATGATGACAGCTTAACATTTAGGCCCTCAGGAAATATTCCTATTTTGGCAAAAGATAAAGCCTACGTCAAAGGAAGACATAGAGGAGTGCAGGCCTTAGGTAAGCAGTGGTGGGGGTGGATATCTGCAGTCAGGGAGCAGAGTCCATGACTCCCTTCCCTAGGTCTTCACAGGCATGTCCCTGTGAGGCCATCCCAATGAAGTCAATCACGGAAGTTGGTGCTCCTTCCATCTTCCCTCACTGCCCTGACCTCCCATTTCCTACTCAGC